ATTGTGTTAGGCATATGTGCAATAAAATTTCAACAACTAATAAATATATTTCCAAGAAGTAAATTGTGTCATTTGATGAATGGGTAGCGACACTAATTTATTGTTAGTACTGCAAATTTGGTTTGCACAAATTTACATTGTCAACCTATTATGATATGGTGGGAGAACTGACTTGGTGTTTTACGTTTTATCGCAAATATTGCAGATAGCAAGAGTCGTCACCGACTTTTATTTTATCTAATAAAGGAAAGGGTGAAAAGAACAGGAAAGACTTTTCGAGAAATTTTTCTTGAGTTCGGGGGATAGGTTATGAAAAGGGAAGGTGTTAGCACCATTTTCATCTGTAGTTATCTACGGGCTCTTTAATTTCTAGCTCACTTTGAAATGCTTTGCGTTTTGTGTATGTTTGAAAATATTTTGAAAACGCCTTCGTACGACAAACTTTGTAATGATTCTCGTATCGTTGAGAATGTATACAAAGTGTTGGTTTTGAAAATATTTGTTGGAAATGAGTGTTTTGGAAAGGTGTTTTGAAAATGCCAATGTAAGGCAATTTTATAATGATTCTCGTATCTTTGAGAATGTATACAAAACGTTTGTTTAAAAGGTGTTTTGAAAGTATGAAGTGTGGAAGTGGTTTTAGTTTGTGAGCAAAAAATTACGAGCAATCTACCTATTCAAAAAGTTTTTGTTCTTTTCCTCCTCCTTTAGATAGTTCTATTTTACCATTGATTGGTAAGAAACCATATCATTGGATGTGACGGACAGGCGTGGGTCGTCGTATAGTCACAGAAGAAAACTTGTAAGATGTTTTAGCAATTGTCATAAGAGACTAAGATCGTTTACTGAAAGCAACATCGAAGGGTCATCGAGGAACTACGATCTTTTAATCGAGGGTCTTTGCTAAAACATCTCACGTTCGAGGGACATGACTATTTTTATCTGAGGCAACAAATGTGGGTTATCCTAGAGGTGCATGTGTACAAAGTGTGTTTGATTCATGTATTTTATCTTGAATTAAGGTTGTCTAGGTTTGATTTTAAGTATTGTCATGCAAACTCTAATTACTAACAATAATAAGGAAAGCGATAAATTGTGGAATTTAAATATCCTACGCTATTACAATGCTTTGGGAATGAGGGATACAAGTTTGTGAATAGGGGAAAGAAGCAATAAAGCCCTAATTATCTATTACAAACCATTGAGTATGAATAATAATAAAATGCATAAAATATAAAGATGAAGAAAAGAAAATTGTTTTTGGGATTTTTGATGGGGAAAAAGGTTTAATATTTACCTAATTAAATTAGTTAATTTTAGTTACAAGAGAAATTAATTAATTATTTTATCAAAACCTAAAATCTAAGTTAATTTAATTTAAGAAGAAAATAAAACTTAAGTCTAAGTAATTTTTTTAGAAAATAATTTGAATGTTAATATTAATTTGGAAAAGAAAATGTTTTACAATGTAAAAGACATGACAAATTTAATTTAATTAACAAAGATAAAAATAAATTAAAATATTTAATTTAATTATTTAGGAAAATATATTTTTGTATTTTTTGGCTAGATAAAAATAAATAAATTAAATATAGAAAATATAAAAATATGAAAAATATTGGGCTTGGGTGTTTGAAAAGTAAAATTGAGGTTTAAAAAGAAAATGGAGCGTCAGGCCCAAAGATTTTTTTTGTTCAAGTCAGTAAATCAAATAAAAAAATGTATATGAGCCTGCGCTGAAAAGTAATTTGGAGGGTGTATGAAAGCAAAAACAAAAAGGCCCAAACAAGAGTCCAGCGCCTGTCATAATTCCATGTGGTTTGATTTGAATTTATGATGATCATGTGGTGAGAGAATGAGGAACACCATGCGCTTCCTGGACTTGCCTGCAATAATCTCATAGAAACAAATATGACAGAAATAAAAGGGTACCACTGGGGCTCGAACCCAGGTCCCTATAGATCAATGCCTTAGCGCGCGCTTCTCTGCCACTGGAATGACTGTTTCATTCGATCATAACGCAAGTAGTAATAAACTTAAAATAAACTTATTTCTAAAATTTGAAAACGAATTCATCTTCAACCTTGCGCGCGCAGAGATGAACATTACCATGGCCAAAACTGTAACTTCTTCATTTCTTAACCATTTTCAAAATTATAAACATGAAAATTGTTCCATTTTTCACCATGAATTCAACCATATAAATAACTAAAGCTATAAATCAAAGATGAACATGAATTTTGTTTGATACCAAATTAAACCATAAAATCTCAGAATTTTCAGTTCTAAAATTCTCATTGCTCAGTCAATCAAAATGAAAACTAAGGACATGGTTAGCTTCAGGGTAATGATGCCTACATTTTTCATTCACAAAGTAACCATTAATGATGTTTGTATAAGGAGTTCAAAGTTAAGAAAACTTACCTCAAAACTGGAAATCGTATTTGGAGTTTGAGCACTCCTGGAATTGTTGTGATGATCTGGATAGCTTCACTGGACTTTTAGGAAGCTAATGCAATGCTTAATTTGTGCTGAAAGTGCCTGAATCTTCCTGGATAAGTCAAGTTGCAAGTGACTGTTTTTGAGTTTGGAAGATGATGAAAATGGAGTTCCAATTATGAAACAGGGGTGGGGATGAGTTATAAATGAGGTATGGAAGCTTTGTGATTGATTAGAAGTGGAAACGCATGAGTGGATTATGAGTTTGAAGTTTTTTTCCAGAAGTTGCAACAATGAAGGTTCTGTGTATAATTCTAAGTTTCAAGGAGTTTGAGAGGGTTAGAGGGCTTGTGAATTCGTCTTTGGCTTGTAAATAAGCTCTCTATTTATAGAGGAAAGGTTTGAGGTAAGGAGAACATCAGATTCAAGAGACCACATGTTATGGTTTTGAAACTTGTCTTTGAAGCAAACTTGAAATACATAGTTTAAATGCATAATATAAGCATGGTCTGAGTAGTTAGAGGCTCTAGACAAGTTGCTTCTGGCTTTGAGATTGTGTGTGTTCAGAAGAAACAAGTGCAAAGCTCAAGGAGAGTAGACTTTGTGATTAAAGCCACTTTTCTAAAATGGAAGTCTTGGCTTTCTTCCTTAAATGGAAAATCAACTTGGACAAAGACTCAAATGCTTGGATAATGGCTCAATCAATATGTAGTTAGAGTCGGAAGCTTGCGTGGCATTTACTCAGAAGAAGTGTTGCTCAGAAGCAGATGCTTCTGAGGTGACTATTCTAGAAGTGTGTTTAGCTTCTGGGGTTCTAGTTTATTAAGTTAACTTAAGTTTGTTTGTGCCTAGGTGGCAGTTTACATTGTGTATATATACTAGTTTGTAACTAGGATTTTATTAAGAATGCAATACATGAATGAATGAGTGTATTCTTCGTCTACAAGTTTTTGTAGTATAATCCTTTCTTTCTTTCACTCTTTTCTTCCATTTGTTTATCTTTATCTTCAACCTTTGTGCACCAACAATAAATATGAATCTTTATTTATATTCTTGATCCATCCAATAAGGAAACAAATAATGAGCATGTACGCGAAAAAAACATCTTGTTTGGATCTTACTTTTGAGAAATTCATATTTTTAAAAAGAGTTAAATACAATTTTGGTCCCTCTAAATATAGCAGATTTTGTTTTTAGTCCGTCTAAATATTTCCTTCAAAGAATGGTCATTCTAAAATTTTTCATCCACACTTTTGATCTCTCATACTAATATCCATTAACAGAGTTGACGTGACACTAACACGTGGCAGTGTCAGCTGTCAAAGATGTTGACGTGACATGCCACATGGCTAAGGTCAGAAATATGTTGGAGCCCGATAAATTTTGATATCTAATCCGTAACTAAAGTCGTAGCTAATATCTAACAAATTCAAGAACCAAAGTATTATTTATATTAGTAGAGGGGTCGTTCAGTGCTTTTGGTAGTTTGAGAAACTTTGATTATGAAGCTAATAATGGTGGGAGGAGTAATAATAATGTTCTCTTAAGCACACCGAACAATGCTAATGTTCTCTTAAGCACAATGAGCTTGCAAGAGAGTTGAACGAATTTACTTCGAGCGAGTCAATCTATTAAAAAAAGCTGCTTCCTTTGCTAATCTAGGATTGATACTCTCATGCGAGTAATAATACACCCTCCAGACACATTTATAAGCTACAAAAATACTTCAATTATTGATCATTATTATAAGTAAAAATCAATTATTACTAAATTATTTAATGTTGTAATTCCTAATATATCCCTCTATTTCATTTTCCAACCTTCCATTAAATTGAATAAAGAGAATATTATAGTATATTTAATTAATGTTTTCACCAAAATCTAAAAAGTTAACTACATTTATTGAATTTTTTATGAAAACCATTTTTATTGCTTATAAATGTATCTGGAGGGAGGGTGTACGAAAAATATGAACAAATCTCATCTTCATTAAAAATCTCATTATTATTATTATTATTATTATTATTATTATTATTATTATTATTATTATTATTATTATTATTATTATTATTATTATAATAATAATAATAATAATTATTATTAGCTGCGTAATTAAAGTTCCTCAAACTATCAAAAACACTCAATTGATATAAATAATATTAATTTTCTGATTCTTGAATTTAATAGAGATTAGCTAAGACTTTAGTTACGGATTAGCTATGTAATTTTATGGACTCCAGTAAGTTTTTGATTTTAGTCACATGACATACCATGTCAGCATCTTTGATAGCCACGTCAGTTCTGTTAACGAACGTTATTAGATATGATCAAAAGTGTTAATGAAAATTTTTAAATAGATTATTCTTTAAAAGAAATGTTTAGAGAAATTAAAAACGAAATCTGGACCAAAAATTTATTTAATCTTTTAAACAATGGAGTGTAGTAAATGGAAAGAGCACATTCCCATACACACCATAAAATTACACAAAATGTTGAAAATAAAAGTACAATATGTATAACTGTGTAATATATTCAAATATGTGTATGTGTGTGTGAAAAAATTATTCAACTTTGACTGCAAATACTGTATGAACATAGTGTCGACCATCAAGCCATGTTATAGACCCAAAATTGTATCCACCACGAGCTTCTCTGGCATAGAATGAGACTTTATATGTAATTCTTTCAACATTCTCTGAAAACACAAGTTTGTTGGGGAAGACATTAACAACCATTCCTTCAGGTGCATGCACCTTTGCAACATATGTAGCATTAAAATTTCCCACATTGGTGACTGTTCTTGTGATCACTTTTACTTTTTGATTTCTTTTGAGTGTTTGTATAGAGATTGATGGGTAGTTGATGTTGGATATAAGATCTTGTGAGGTTTTTGGGCAAGTTACATTGGTTTTAGATAATGAGCTTATGATTTTCTTTGAGTAGCCATAATAACAAAGGAATCTGATGTAGTCTTGTACATTTGTTTCGAAGACTAAACCAGGGTTGAGAGCTTTGAGTGGATTGATTTCTCCAACTCCCATTTCGTGTGGGTTGGCAATGTAGTTTGAGTTGTTGGTCACCAGCTTCTTCATGTTATTGTAGGTTGTAGCTGAAAAAACGATCAACAAAGTAAAATGAAACAGACACTAGACACAAATCGACACTGACACTGACACTGACACTGACACGTTAACATCAATAATATTTTAAGAAAATAGTGTCATGTTGGTATTCAACATTGATACATGTTGGCACACCTAACACGTGTTGGTGCTAAATTAAAATATTAGAAAAAGGTTTTGGTTTAGAACCTGTTGTCATTAATGCTGATTTGATCATTGAAGGACTCCATCTTCCATGTACTGATTTGATGAATGCTGCAGCACCTGTCACATGCGGGCATGCCATAGATGTACCGGATTTTATGCCAAATAAGGACGGCTTTTCACCAATTGGAACACTTCCTGGCTCATCACTTTTGGGAACCATGGCAGCCAAAATGGCAACTCCTGGAGCCATGACATCAGGCTTCACAATAGATTGGTGAAAATAGTTAGGGCATTGTTCTCAATATGCAGTACCGTCTTAAGCTTTCGGAGCCTGTTTAGATTAACCACGACCGAAGTGTGGCAAATCAAACATGGACCATATTTTGTCATGCTTTAACCGTGATAAATATTTTAGGAGATCTATTTTAGTCACGGTTTAAACGTGTCAAACTTTAGACTCTGTAGTGTAGCTTGCTTTACATACTCTCAAAGACGGCCTGGCCAATATGCTTATGTATTTTTTGATATATACATAGCTAAATGAACTACATGTAGGAACAAATTGCAGAAAATTACCTTGAGAATGTTTTCTGTAAGGCTAGAAGGACCTCTGGATGAAAAGGATGCAACAATTGGTGCAGGCCTATATCTAGGAACTTCGGTTGTTGGAAGAATTGTTGCAGTTGGATTCCTGTAACAGAAACATGATAGACTGAGAATATAGCTAGCATATTATGTCAAGCATTTTACATTTACTCTCATTGCTGAAATAACGGCTTACTCGGTAGAGTTTATGTAAAGAATGGTCATGCTTACTTGGTAGAGTTTATGTACTGAAGGATCTGATGCCATTCAAGATTTCCAATCTCTGTGAAAGGAAATGCACCTGCATCAAAGGAAACATCTCTATTGTTCTCGTCGACTAGTATCATCCCCGTGGCTCTTGCATCTTGTAAAACTAGCTTCTTGACGCGCCTTGAAATATTTGGATCATCGTTAACACAAACAACAATTTTTCCTGCTACTTTGGTATAATCTAGTGATCCAGGATAACAATTCCTGCAATTCATAAAAACCACTTAGTATACGTTTCTTCTGTCGGGATTTTTAAAGCCAAACAGTTTTTGTTAACTAGTACTATTAGAACTCGTACTTAGCTTCTGATGTTGGCGCGAATTTGGCTGCAATTTCCTCTCCAAAGACAAGAGAGTGCATTGTTGAGCGAGTAAGGTTTGAGAAGTTAATGCCAGCACCCTGGCGACACATGAAACGACAAAATTGATTGTCTTAGTATATGAATGAAGCACAGACACTCTAGGTTGAAGGTATGTCCGATATCCAACATTGACACGTACTGACACATTGATATCAGTACCTACATATCAATGTATGTGTTGTGTTTATTGTCTGTGTCAGTGTCATAGATAGGTAGGTCTACAATGCTTCTTTTGGCTAGGAAGCACTTGAGTTCAAGAAACTTACTTGGAAAGTTTTTCCATTTCCAAGGACAACGGTTGACCGAAAGTTCCTATCAATATTAGAAGCCGAAACTGTAAATATCCATGGTGCTGTATTCACAACAGTATAAGGATCAGGACCATCATTCCCCGCTGAACACACCACCATAACCCCCCTTTGTTCAGCATGAAATGCTCCAATAGCTATTGGATCATTCAAATAATCAGACTGCATTAGCGAACTAAGTCCGACAGAGATCGAGATTATATCCACTCCATCCCTGATTGCATCGTCCATAGCCTTTAGTATCGTCGAACCTGAACAACCTTCTTCTGAACATGTTTTATAGGCTGCAATTCTAGTAGAAGGTGAACCACCTCTCGCTGTTCCTTTTGCTAAACCATAATAAGTAGCATTGTTTACAAATACACCCGCTGCTGTTGACGCAGTGTGAGTTCCATGTCCAACAGAATCTCTTGGTGAACCTTTGGCTCCTTCAATATGAGTTTTGTTGCTATTTGATATATCTTGTGTATTATAGTATCTCGCACCTATCAGTTTTCTGTAGTTTTTTCAACAGAATTTAAATTAAGCATATAATCAATTTGCATTTTTTAAGAGTTGTAAGAGATGGAGCTAGTGATGACCTGTTGCAATTAGATTTCTTGAAATCAAGGCCTTCCATGCAAACTCCTTTCCATCTTGAAGGAATCTTGCCTATACCCTCATCTCTAAAACTTGGTGACTCTGGCCATATCCCTTCAAAATATTCAACAGGAAAACTCTAGTAAGGTCTTTAAAATTCATGAATTAGTAATTGATAAAATTTATTAACAGGGTCGTCTTTGACGGCGTGCAAGACAGACTATCACACATAGTCCAGAATTTGTCACGATTAAACTGTGGTTAAATAGGACCTCATAAATAGAGTCTTTATTTAATTTGTCACGGTTAAACTGTGACTAACCTACACAGTCTCGAAAAACTTGAGAGTGACTCTGATTACAAGATTTTAACTTTTTTGTGTTAAAAAATTGTGACAGCAAATAAGGTCTACATGCTGCTTTATTTTAAACATGAAAAAAATATTCACTTGTCAAACTAAAGGAACCCATAATATATGATGTAACATGCCAAGATAAGCTTGTAAAGATTTCAATGAGCATAAAGTACTACAAAAATTAAATAGGTATTGTTTGTTTTGTTTCAAAATGAAAAATCATGTGGATATGGCAATCATAATAGCTAGTTGCGGGCCACAATGCATAATAGATGATGTTGATGCTGCAACCATCAATAGAGAGTGAATACCCAAAAGAGGTGCAATAAGTTATGACAAATCTTTTTCACATGATAACATAACACTATTTGTTTTGGGTCTATGGATCATGAATTTGTAACTTGTAATGTTTTTTCTCTCATGTTTTTTATGTTATACACTTAACAGATTGTCTTCTTTTTTTGTCTTACAATTAATCATTAAATTATATAAAAAAAAAAAGAGAATTGAAAAAAATAGTATAAAAGGATCCAAATTCATATATCATGCGAGTGTGACATGGTTGATGAATTTAATTCAGGCAATGGTATTTGAAGTTTGTTAGAATCAGTTTGTATCACTAATTGAGTTGGTTAAAGGTAGTAGTTGTTGTTAGTTTATTAAGTGAAGCAGTTACTTGTTGATCAAGTAACAACTACCTAGTGTATAAATAGGTCTTATATTGATCAATGCAATAATAGTCCTTTTCATTCTCTCACATATACTTTCTCGATCACTCTCTTATTTTTCTCTTTTTACTCTCATATGTTATCCCAAATAAATTAGTATCAGAACTTTGTTGATTCTAAGAAACTCAAGTGATTGTAAGTGGTATCAATCATGGGGGATCATGGAAGCTTTACAACACACCAACATGTTCTTATAGTAAGAGTTGGGACAAACGGGTGACTCAAATAAAAAAGAGTTTTGGTGCATAAGACATTTCTAATATGGTGGAAGCGGGTTTGGAAGCTTTGCCTGAATATGCAAGTGTATCACAAAAGAAAGCACACAAAGAAGACGAGAAAAGGGATTGCAATGTTCTCTTCCTCATTCATCTAAGTGTGGATTCAAAGGTGTTTGAAAAAATCTCTAGTGAAACTTGTTTCTAAGCTACATGGGACAAGTTGGAAAAGTATTTTGGTGGTGAAGTTAAAGACAAGAAGGTGAAGTTGCGGTCATTGCGCTCATGAAGAATGATGAGAAAATAGATGATTACATATCAAGATTATTAACCCTTACAAATCAAATAAAGTAGTGTGGCAAATCTCTCAATAAATTGAAGATCATTGAGAAAATCTTGAGAACCTTGTCTCTTTGATCTTGAGAAAATCTTGAGAACCCTCTCTCAATAAAGTAGTGTGGCAATAGGTGACTAGCTTTCAAGTTTAACTTGCATATGAGAGCCAAGGAAGTTCTAGGTGTAATTCACTCATACTTTTGTGAACCATTAGAGGTACTCAATCATGGTGGCACAACAAATACTTCATGACCTTTGTGGATGAATTTTCTAGGATGTTATGGTTATTTCTGATCAAGGCCAAAAGTGAAGCTTTAGATGTTTTAAAAATATTCAAAATAATGGTGGAAATACAGAGTAGTAAGTTGGTGAAGATCTTGAGAATTTATGGTTGAAATGAATATACTTCTAATAACTTTGAATCTTTTTGTGTAAGTCAATGTATCATTCATGAAGTCACAATTCCATACACTCTCCAAGACACAAAGATAAAATATAAGCATTCTCAATATGGCCAAAAGTATGATAAAGCAAAAGAGCCTACAACATGAGATTTGGAGTGAGTCTTTATCAAGGGTAACATATCTTATAAGTTCTATGTCTAATCAATGTGAGACTTATGATCTTTCTAATGAAGAGAAGTAGAAGAAAAATATAGGTAAAAAAAGTGAATTTATTTTAATTGATTTAGGAGAAAAATAAAAAAGAGCGAAAAAAAAGTGGAACTGACCACTTTTCACAATTTCTTTTTAAAAAGAGAAGAAAGTTCCGAAAAGTTTATCTTTATTAAGAATTTTATATTTAATCTCATATTTTCTATTAATTTAGTATTTTTTAGAAACATTTTTATACTTTCAAGAATTAATATTTATGAATTTTTCTTATCTTTATTTTATACTATACAATACCTTAAATTTTCTCTATTTCTCTTTTTTTTTCTTCTTTTCACACTCTTTCTTGCAAAAAAAATTCTTTTTATTTTCTCTTTACAATTAAACACATCCTAAAAAAATAATGTCTGACATTGTAACATTGTGATAACTCAAATAAACTTGTAAGATTCATCACTTTCTTTCTCTCTTCTATTTAAATCTAAGAAGTCAAATAATTATACGGAAGTTAAAACAGGATGACACTAATTCGAGGAAATATGAGTGTCCTTTTAAGTATCTTATGGATGATAATATATAGAGATTTAATATGATTTTATAATATACATAATCATGACATGTGTCACAAGTTAGCTGATCATCCAATTGTATGTCGGTTTAAGGCTTAAGAGAAGGAAACTGTTTTTGACATGACATTAGGAGATAAAATATTATAACTCAAATATTAAGCAATTATAGGATGTTTGTGCCAGAAACAACAAAGTGACAATAAGGGATAGAACTGAAATACAATAATTGTTAAAACTTTTAGATGATAATCATTATGTATCTAGGTACAAAGTGTGTGGGGATGGAGAAATTGTTCGATATATATTTTGGAGTCATCCTAATTCTATAAAGTTGTTCAATATATTTCTCATTGTGCTCATTATTGATTCAATATATAAGAACAATTGGTGAATTCAGTTGCAAATGTATTTCCTACATCATATGTATTATTTTATAGGCATCATATAACAAAAATGTGAGGAGTACACTTAAGCATGTGGCAGGGACCAAAAAAATCAAGGGTGAAAATGAAAAAAATAGTCAAAGCTAATGTGATATTGGAAAGCATAATGGATGCCTAGAATATTATAAAAATTCTTCTCCGTGCACTTTTTTTCCACTTCGGAGTGCCCCGCCTCTAAATCCAACCAGACGCATTATGTGTATCAGATGACTTTCAAAATCACTATATTTTGTTCAAGTTTATTTAAAATCAGGATGCCTTATACCATGGACATCATCATAGTAGACAACTCATTCCTTAAAGGAAGTTGAAACTTGGCCAAATAACTTTTTGGATAGGATGAAAGAATTCATCAAGTTGAGCGAGATTGAAAGAGAATCAAATAAGTAAAAGTCAAACACGAAACTACCCATAAATATAGATTTAGGTGGTGACACATGTTTTGATTCATTTTAGTTTTTATCTAACAATGTATTTAGGTGGTGACACATATTTTGTATGTAATGTTGGATTGATATTAATGATGTAAACTGTATACATTTTAGTCTTCTAATTTTTTTATTATCTTTTTTGTATTTCATAATAGGTTTTGTTTCTATAACAGGTTCTGCGTGAACAGTTCAGGGTGAATCCAAAAATGCATTTCCGGATACACCCTATTTAAAAAAAAGTTAACAGAGGTTTATTCCAAACTATATTTCTTTATAAACCCTAATTTTACTAAACGAATCAGGGTTATCCATAAGTATATATCTGGAATATCCTTTGAGACAAGATTGAGTTTCTAAGGTCCATATTGATCTAAAACTTGTATAAATATGAGTACCTCTCATTTTGTTAGCGCAAACACACACATAATGTCTTAATATTCAAATCTCTCTTTTGTATACATCAACGACAAGATGCCCCCTATTGAATGTAGGTTCACAGAGATCACCTATTTTGTCGATCTAAAATCCCTATTAGAGAATTTATATCCATAAAATTAAAGAGTTGTGAAACTATATTATCTTTCACCCTTGATTGACAATAAAAGGAAGATATAGTTCAATAAGTTTGAGCTGAAGATGAATGAAGATTTAATTGGTATATGGAGTACATGTCGTCGTTACGAAATAAAAGGTCTGATCGAGGTGGATGCGAAGATTCTGATATTGATCAAAGATATTCTAAAGATGTTGAAACATCCTCAACCATCACTTGATGATGAAATATATGTTATATTCACATTAACCATTATCTATGTAATGTTACATGATCTTACCGATTGATCAGAACCCGCAAATGGGCTGAAGGGTGATATCTGACTCGCTGGAAAGTTGAGGAGAAAAGGGAGTTGTACCTGCAAGGCACTCTGATGATCAAGTAAGAATAAGTGCAAAGAGATATAAGGAGAATGTTATGGTTTAAGGTTTGAATATTGAATACATGGCCCTCACATGTGTGAGAGCTTATATAATTTCCCCGACGCTTGGCTATTGGTTCCTATTTTGGGCCTAGATATACGAGTCCGCAAAATTAGGTAACTTCCAAGACTCAGTCAAAACGGGCAGGGTGCCCGTAACTAGTCGTTGGATCTAAGGAGGAGACAAATTAAGGGAAGAGGGGGGTTCTGGTCGTTTCCTGGTTGTCTGCTTGACTCATGTCGGGTTGACAGGGAGATAACCTCTCACTGGGTTAGGTGCACGTGTCGGGCATCACTGGTCGTGCTCCCAGGGGCGTGGTCGACCAAGATGCTAGGCCACTGTTGTTGGGTCGTGTCAGGGGTTAAGCGGATTGGGTGAATCCTAGTCATTGGGCCAGTCTAGAAAAGGAGGCCCCCAAGTCGTTGCTTCTGGGCACATGAGTGATGACTTA